TAACATACATGGTTTAATGATTAAATCTTTAAATGTTTTGCTTTCATAGCAAAGGTTACACTTTACTTTAAACTTTACATGAAGTTTAAAGCAAACATAAAAGAAATCACTGGATTGTATTAGGATGTAACATCAAGCATCTAGATGTCATTATATGTTAAAAATTAGACGTTCCTTAATACATTTTTTTCCCAGTGATTGAGCTTATTATATACCGATATTTAATTCTTTTAAAACAATAATAATAATCTCGGAGTAATTTTAATTATATACGTGCTGCCTTGTGCCCTGGTCTGCTTTTATGTTTGGGATCCTCCTGGGCTCCTCATCACCGTTTTTGTTGCTTGGTAATGTAGGGGTAGCGTTCATTGAACGCCGCCTTTCCTTGTTGATCTTATTTTGACTTACATTAATGACACATATAAGTGTGTATCAACAACATGAAAATGCCATAATAATTTCTGTCAAAAGTCTTTCCTCATGAACTATATTGCTTTAAGGAACTGCTGGTGACTACACTAAATTTATTCTATCTTAAATGATAAAGTAAAGTCTACATGAATATATTCAAGTTTGCTGCAGTGTCATCAACAAAGGACTAAGGTTGTATTATTATTCGCTATAAAAGGCCTTAAAGAAGCCAAAGATATATGAGAAGGACGATAAATCACATTTCAGACTTATGCAACGTGCTTTGTACATAAGGCTATTACATGTATCATCAAATTCAGTCTGTTAAGTTATTCATATTATATAAATAACACATGGGTTTGTGGGTAACAGTAAAAATATCATCCCGAGGAAAATACTGTTACCCGAGGCGTAGCCTCGTATTTTACTAGGGATGGTATTTTTACTGTTACTCACAAACCCATGTGTTATTTTTTTTATTACCCCGAACAAAAATACTGTGATGATCTGAAATTGTCAACTAAATCTAACTGTAACAAAAATAAACCAAGAGTAACAATAACTAAACTGTCCTTCCCTTTTAAGTTTTAAGTGTACTTTAGGCCTACTTAAGAAGTTTTCTTTTTCATTTATTCTTTAAGCAAGTGATGATATCTACAAATCATATATAAACAATAAGCTAGGTTTTATTTAGAAAACAAAACATTAACCCATTTACACGGTTATGATCTGTGAAATCTGATCCTTCTGTTTCCAGAATATTCTTAGCATGGTTTTTGACAAAATAACGATGATATCCTATGTCTGTCCATCATATCTGTAACGTTTCACTGATTTAAATTGTTAAATAATCCTTTGTTGCATGCTTAAATCGTCTGCATGTTCCAGTTTGACACATAATTATTTACATTGCAATTACTTCCGTTGAAAACGGAAGTTCACTTTTTGACTATTCAACAAAAAGATATTTTATACGCGAAAAGCACACCAGGTTGCAAACAACTAAATTTTATGAGTGTCATAGTTACTCCAGAGAAGAAATTGATGTCCTATCGGCATTTAACGTTGAAAATAAGAATGAATCGAGAAAAAAATGGCGACCATTTCATTTCATTTTATTTAGAATATAGACCACGTGACCAGATTTTATACTGTTAAAAATACTGTTACCTATGTAACAGTACAAAATTCTTAGTCACGTGGTACACTTGCATTAACAGTAAAAATAACTCCCAGAGGCCTATGGGAAATTAGCATTACGAAAAAAGTGAGGGGGTAATAATTTTATTTGAATGTTTTTAATTAAAAAATGGAAACTACCATTTCAGTTTTGTTTGACAAACAACCATTTCAGTATTGTTTGACAAACAAGAGTACATATTTTACATTAACGATAGTTCGTCAGTTTCGTAATTTTTCATTACATTTCATATGGCGCCGAAACAGGACTCATGATTTTGACTAAACTCGGGTGTCACAAAGTCCAAAGCAACAAAAAATAAACAATCAAAAATCTACATAACATACTTCTGATTAATTTATTGAACTGATTTTTACCTCTACCGGCTTCACAATATCATTAGAGAGATAATGAAAATACTAATGTAATAAATATAATTCTACATTATATTGTTACGGGAAGAAACAAAGAAAAATTGTAAAACAATTATCCACTTTTAATATCACACAACGAGTGTTAAAGTTTTATGTTCTCTGTGATAAAATACAATATTTGTAGTTCTTCATTATCTTCAATGATTCACTGTGAATATTTCAACGATCACAAAAAAGATGATATTTAACATTGCATACTGATGTTTTAACATCATATCTTAGCACAATCTTCTAAAATCTTTTTAATTTCATGTCTTAAAGACAATAAAGTAAAATAATAACAATTTCTTTGAAAGACAAAGTCAAAATATAAGAATTTCATTTAAAGACATGCATTTGTTTATTTTTTTTGAAATTTCCTTTAATTATTCTTAATTCTAAATATAAATTTCGTAAAAAGTTTCTTAGAATAATTGATATTCCAGATTGACTATGATATAAAACTATGAAAGCGTGTTAAAGCAAGTCTGAAAAATTTCGTAAAATTTCAAATGAATTGAAATTATGTAAAAAATATTTTCATAACATGATATCATAGAGCAAGAAAAAGATGAAAAACTGTAACCATCATTTGGTTGTCGTGTCATTTGAAGTGTGTAATTTTAAAAGATACGTTGGTTATTTTGTGTGGGCGACCATTGCCTAGTGGTTAAGGTCATTGGCTTGAAACAACTTGCCCTCCCTATTGTAGGTTCAAATCTCGCCAGGGACTTTGCATTCATATATGTAAGGAAGTTGTTCAGCTAGATAATGAAACGTCGATAGTTCAAATCAGGTCCCTGCTCGTGCCTGATATAATGCTCAGAGGGGCACTTGAGGTGTTTCTCCACCAATAAATCTGAAAAGTTGCGATAAGACTACTGTGTTGGTGCGACGTAAACAAAATCAAAAATGGTTATTTTGTGAGTATCGGTTATTAAATTTGTCGTCATAAAACTCTATCAACACAATAAAATACTATATGAATATTTCCGTACTCTATATTGTATAACTAAACACGTGAAATGTAATTAAATGGAATTAAATATGTGAGGAACATTTGAAACATTCAATTCATTTGTTTTTTTAAAAAAAGAATCAATATCGAAACTCCCAAATAGTAAACGTATAGTACCAAACTAAGTTTAGAAATCTGCAGGTCGTTCATATATCAGAACTTCAGAAGGTTCAAACTTCCTATCCTTAAATGTTAATTGGTCAATATTAATGGCTTGTTATGTAGACTGCATTCATAACGGTTCTCCACTGCCGGAAATATCGGACAAACAAACAGCGTTTGTTATTCGGAAAACCTGCATTTTAAACAGAGAAAATAACTTTGCGCCAATAAACAGAATTCATAACATTAATTTACCATTTAAAAAGACATAAAAAGTACGGCAACATCCTTTGAATTTAGCACTCGAAATCTTTATTGACAAACGAATAAACACAAACAATACACCATTTTACCATTATACTTCAATTTATTATATTGTTATAATTGCATACATTCTTATTTTTATTAGTAAAAAGCTAAATCACAAGTATGTCAAACGCGTGAACTAAAAACACAAGAATGCCAAACATGTTAACAGTTCATTTCATAAATTCTTAAAGATGTCGAAAAGAAAAGCTGTAATCTGATTACAATAAGATTAATAAATGAGTCCCTCTTATACATTATAATACAATATATACAAGTCATGTAAAATGAAATATAATTCATTAAACAAAACAAAGTACTGAAGACTGTTAAAAGAGGACAGAGTGCTAATAAAGCACATATTGTTGAGTTATCAAAGCACTGAATAACTGACTATATGATATGCAGATACTGGCTATCAAACTATATTACAACAATAACAATAGCATGTGAGTACTTATCAATGTTAGATTAAAGCAATCATACCCCATTTCTAATATATATAATTATATCATTTGGTCTATGCGCCAAGGAAGACATTTACAAGAAAGTAAGGGAAAGCACTAAAAAATCTTAAGAGTTTAATTCATATAATAACGTAAACAGTTATGTCCCTTTTTGAGTACCAGTTTACAGCAGTTTTTACACCCTACTCCTGATGAAATACTACAGATATAACAATTCAAGTAAGACAACAACAAAAACAACAAAAAAGAACAACAAAAACAAGTTAACAACAGCCCTCTATAAAAAGGCTAAAAAAATCCGAAAAAGAAAAGCAAAAAAAAAAAAACAACAAAAAAACAAAAACAAAAAAGTCCAGTGTCCGTTTTAACCAGTAAATGTTGTTTAAAATTTTTCGCTACTGATATACCAGGCATTCGCAGTTATTAAGTTGTTTATTGACATTTCTTAACCGTTTTTATTGCTAGCATTGTTGCAAGCCATAGGCCTACCATATAAATTAAATTTTAAGCTTAAAAATTGTTTACGGTATTTTTTATAAGGTAAAAAACATAGTTTAGGAAGGACCAAATGATATTCTACATAATGAAGTAAACTTTGCAAAAATAAAACTGACAAATAGTTTTCATATTTCTTTTACATATCGAAATAGTCATTTTGTTTTATCTCCGACGAACGGGATTGTTGACAGTATTTAAACAATAATTTGTTTTGTACAAAATCATATTCAAGTCATATTCAACAAATGGAATTACAATTACTATTTACCTATATTGAACCACTTTAAGAAAAGTCATTCTTTGGTTCAATGATGCAACAATAAAAAGAACTTGTACATTTACATTGAAAGTTCAACGGAATAATAATTTAAAACTATTATTCGATCATACATTTTTACTGAACTTAGGAAACAAACGAACACAGACGCTATAAAATTCAGTCTTTAATATGTTTTTATTAATATGTTTGAAATTACCTGTAGGTATATGGAAAATTAAACATTAAAAAAGTGAAAGCTCAAAACTTATATAGAATCTCGCGTTTCTTATTAATTTTATACAGTTCAAAATCTATTTATGCGACTTCTGTTTATGGCTTTTTTAAAAAAAAAAATCAGAAAAATCAGCAATGAAAAAAAAATTACATAAGATAATAAGATTAAATAAATAAGCCACACACATCCAACTAAATACAATTCAAACAAGGCAGTCCAAAGGACAGCTATATACCCCGCCGCAATACAGCTGGTCATTATCTAGCACAGTTGAATTAGAGTTTAATCCAGAATGTGTAAGTTTGAACTTTAAAAAACCAGAATACATGCAAATCAAATAAATATGTTAAACCGATTGTTTGCACCAATCCTGTTAGCTTAAAGTATATCAAGTACAAGTATTAAATAAAGGAGTAAATCTGAACAGTCCTATTTGTTAGATGAAAAAGTTAACTTGAATGGTGCCATATTGTTAGAAGGGTAGTACATGTACATACAATGCAAAAGAAAAGAAATGATAAAAACGCTGAGATTAAATAAATCCTTTTTAAAACTTTTTTGTCTAAAAGAAGCACATGTTGTTCAAATTGAAAAGTGCAAATTATATAATCAGTATATGTTTAATTATCCCTTTCAGAACCTTCTATTTTAGTGTTTCAACTGATACTCGTACATGCGAAAATTTCAAAGCTTCAATTGATACATGTGAAAATTTCAAAGTTTATATTTTAGGCCTTTTGACCCAAATGAATTTCCTTTGAAAAATGAAAGGAGGTTACAGTTCATACACTTTACTAACAAAACCATTAGACACCCATACATGGTGCCGTTACCGAGTTAATATTTTTGCTCTGTGTGGGAGCAGAACACAACGACAACAACAGAAAAGAACCCCAACAAAAACAACAACAAACCCTTCAATGCCTTAATCTTTCATAGACATGATCTGATGGTAGTTCACTAAGGCTTGATTCAGTGGATGGTAGCTCACTTATATTAGATTCAGTAATATTGCTATACATTGGATCTCGGGTTATTGTCGATGTGGATGGATAGTTGGCCATTTCTGTTGAAGCCTTTGAACCTTTAGAAACAGATTGAAATGGAGGAAAATAACAAACAAACAAACATGAATAAATGAAATGTAGATAAAAAACTACTTATGTAAATACAAACAAAAGATTTTGTAAATACTATTTTCTGTAATTATCATTCAATTACGTACATTACAAATAAAGTAATTGCCATCAATTATAACTTTTGTATTTAGGTAACTTCTAATTTCAATCAGAAAACAAAAATGTTTATATGTCAATTTTATTGTTTAAATAACATTCATTTACATCAGCATAATAAATAAAATGATCAGGATTTTGTTCTTTGAATGCATATGACGACTTCCTGATAACAATATGGAAAATGCAGTGAAACAACTACATTATAATGAAAATTGTAGACTCGGTTCGAAGAAATTTGTATGTGAAGGATCATGTACAAAGGGAACATCTCTCACGCACAAAGCACCGACTTAAAGCTGTTTTCAAATGTGCTTAAATCAATGATTCCGAGGTACCAGAATAATAACACAGGGCACTGTTTTAGCAGACTATTTTACCTTTTGCTCTGTCATGATTCTTTCTAGATTTCCTTCGTTTTAATCTAAAATATAAAATCCTGACTTGATTGTAAACATGAATAAAAATATAAGTGTGATAATGAAATTAAAAAAAAACCCCAATGCAACAGGTTTCTGCTTTGAATTAACAAGACAATGCACATCATTCTTGAAAAATTTTGGTTTAATTAATATATGCTTATCATCATTTAATTGATGCATAATAAAGATAACATTTGCCTCATTATTAAACATTCGTTTAATCAGTTTTACGTTTCATCATTATATTCATGTTAACACCATCTTCGAATCTAAAAAAGGCAGCTTCATATTGTCTTTAATGTCATATCTACATTATTATCAATTGTATTTTAAAGAGTATGTTAATATTTTATCCAAATGAAAACCAAATATTCTACATAATAAAAGGATATTGTAGAGCGTGATGCCCTAAAACAATCTATCATGTGTAACGAAGAAGGAAATAATATCATTACATGTATCTTATAACACCATTTAATCCAAACGCAACGACAGTGATAGCAATGCAGATGATCATAACGACAATTATACCGACAGATTGAATTTCATCTTGTGCTAATTTGCCAGCGTCTGAAATATTTCAAAGGTTTCATAAATTTAAGTTACAATGTTTCTCTGACTTTAAAAGAGGAAGTAAAACTAAATGGATAGATAATACTATGAGAACTACACCAAACAAATATCAATGATAATAAAAAAAAAACTACAAAGAATTTTTATTTTATAACTTAAATGTACCACTTGAGATAACGATAACGATAGTTAAGATAGTCTAGCACTATTTTTTTGTCTAAGTTTTATTTCTTTTTTTTTGCTACTATGACAAAATAGTAGGATTTGCACCAGGATAAATGAAAATGGAAACAATTGCTGATTACCAATTTGTAAAAAAAACTTAATTTTAGAAATTAAAATTGTTCGTACCTGAAACTTCAGGACATGGCAATGTGCAAGATCCAGTACTGATACTGCAACAAAGACACTCATCCCTGCATATGTTTTGACAAAGTAATCCCCATCGACCTTGCGGACATGCACTACAATAACCAGTGTCTCTGTAGCATTGAAGACATTGATCAGACTTACATGTAGACTGACAGTCTTCACCCCAAAATCCAGATTGACACAATGTACATAACCCATTTGTTATAGAGCATTGTTCGCATCTTGAGTTGTTGCACATGTATGAACAGTCCTGACCCCAATATCTGTTTCCACAAATTAAGCAATGACCAGTTTGTCTGTGACAACCCCAGGAACAAGATGAGCTGCATAGACTTTCACAAAACTTTCCCCATCTATTTAACTTACATTTCTTACATTCGCCGGAGTCAATATTACATTCAGAAGAGGTGCACGACTGATTACATTCTTTTCCGCATGATGATCCCCACAATCCAAGATTGCATGCAATGCATAAACCAGTTTCTTTATTACAGCTTGAACAATTTTGACTGCATGTTTTGTTACAAAATTCGCCCCAAAATCCATTCTCGCATCCGACACATACTCCATTGTTCTTAATACAGCCTAAGGACGAACAGCCATGACTACAGGTTTCATTACATGATAAACCCCAAAGTCCAGAGTTGCAAGAACTACATTGTCCGTTTGATCTAATACAGCCTGAAGAGGAACAGTTGTATATGCAGGTTTTGTTACAATTATCTCCCCAATAACCGCTTTTGCAAGTACTGCAATATCCATCATTTTTTCTACACGTTAGAATTGAACAACCTTGACCGCAAGTTTTCTGACAAAATTCGCCCCAAAATCCATTTTTGCAACTGCTGCACACTCCATCGTTTCTATTACACCTTAAGTTCAAACAACCATGGCTACATGTTTCATTACATAATACACCCCAAAGTCCAGAGCTGCAAGTACTACATTGTCCGTTTGATCTACTACAGCTTGACGCGGAACAGTTGTACATGCAGGTTTTGTTACAATTGTCTCCCCAATAACCGCTTTTGCAAAGACTGCAATACCCATCATTTTTTCCACACGTTAAAATTGAACAACCTTGACCGCAAGTATTCTGACAAAATTCGCCCCAAAATCCATTCTCGCATCTGATACATACTCCATTGTTCTTATTACACCCTAAGGACGAACAGCCATGACTACAGGTTTCATTACATGATAAACCCCAAAATCCAGAGTTGCAAATGCTGCACACTCCATCGTTTCTATTACACCTTAAGTTCAAACAACCATGGCTACATGTTTCATTACATAATACACCCCAAAGTCCAGAGCTGCAAGTACTACATTGTCCGTTTGATCTACTACAGCTTGACGCGGAACAGTTGTACATGCAGGTTTTGTTACAAATGTCTCCCCAATATCTGCTTTTGCAAGTACTGCAATATCCATCACTTTTTCTACACATTAAATATGAACAACCTTGACCGCAAGTATTCTGACAAAATTCGCCCCAAAATCCATTCTCGCATCTGATACATACTCCATTGTTCTTATTACACCCTAAGGACGAACAGCCATGACTACAGGTTTCATTACATGATAAACCCCAAAATCCAGAGTTGCAAATGCTGCACACTCCATCGTTTCTATTACACCTTAAGTTCAAACAACCATGGCTACATGTTTCATTACATAATACACCCCAAAGTCCAGAGCTGCAAGTACTACATTGTCCGTTTGATCTACTACAGCTTGACGCGGAACAGTTGTACATGCAGGTTTTGTTACAATTATCTCCCCAATAACCGCTTTTGCAAGTACTGCAATATCCATCATTTTTTCTACACGTTAGAATTAAACAACCTTGACCGCAAGTTTTCTGACAAAATTCGCCCCAAAATCCATTTTTGCAACTGCTGCACTCCCCATCGTTCCTATTACACATTAAGTTCCGACAACCATGGCTACATGTTTCATTACATGATAAACCCCAGAGTCCGGAGCTGCAAGTACTACATTGTCCGTTTGATCTACTACAGCTTAACGAGGAACAGTTGTACATGCAGGTTTTGTTACAATTATCTCCCCAATAACCGCTTTTGCAAGTACTGCAAAACCCATCATTTTCTCTGCACGTTGAAATTGAACAACCTTGACCGCAAGTATTCTGACAAAATTCGCCCCAAAATCCATTTTGACATGATGTGCATCGTCCATCAATTTTACTGCACTTATCTGAATTACACTTTCCGCAAGTTTTCTGACAGTTTTCTCCCCAAAATTCGGATTTACACGTCTGACATTCTCCTGATGTGATACTACAAATATCACAATTCGACGCAGAACATCTTTCGTCACATGAAATATTCCAGTATCCGTTTTTACATGCTTCACACCCACCTAGTAATTTGTCACATATTTTGCAGTTTTGAGCGCATGTGAAGTCACAGAATTCCCCCCACCTTCCAACATGACATATTGTGCATGCGCCAGTCGTTTTATGACAGTTCTTGCAATTTATATTACACGAATTATTGCACGTTGTTCCATACCAACCATCAGAACAAGAGTAACAACTTCCGTCATATTTGCGGCAATAGGAAGACTTACAGTTTTCTGGACAATTTTTATTACAGTAGTCACCCCAAAAGCCGTTCCTACAAGAACCACATACTCCAGTTACCTCATCACACGAAAAGCAATTTACCTCACACACTTCCTTACAGTCAGTTCCCCAGTTACCATTTACACATGCGCTGTCGGCATATTTAACTAAACGAAATAAAATATTTAATTTGATTTGACATCAGATCAATTTAAAATGCATGTTATAAATTCAAATTAATTAAATAGAAGAGAACATTAATGTTGATGAACATTTTCCATCTTAAATTCTCAAAAAATAAAAATTAGTTATAAATTAATTAAAAAAGTCATCCAATTCTCCTGAAATTTTCTAAGAAAAATTTTGAAATCTCTATCTGCTGTAAACCGTAATAATCAGGTGTTCCTTCTAAGATATAAAACAGGATAAAATAAAATTACACATATTCATCATGTTTTACACGCGATTATGCTCATTGGTGAATAGGTTGCAATGAATATTTACTGTCACATATTTTTTTCTTGAATAACATAATTTTGCACAGGTTCATTGTGAATGTTTGTAACCCTTTTTAGGGTCAATAATCTTATGCTAACAATTAAAATGGTTGGCGCGGTATGGCCAGTTATGTGTCAGTGTGCTGTTTTACCCAAACACTCATAAACTAAGCTAAACATAATTAAGCTTTTAAGCAGCATGCCTTAAAATTCATGCTGATATATTTTCAGGAATTTGTTATAAAATCTATTTAAATAAGTAAAATATTATATATATGTTAATAAATAAAGTAATTCATACACTGCAAACGACACTTAAAATCTACAATTTTACCAAAAAGTGCATGTATATCATTTACAAATACGATGATGAATACTGTAAAATCAGGTATAAATTACAAATAACATTTAATTTATTTCTAGGATTTGTGAAATGTTTAACCTTTCTAAAATCTTAGAATATATTTTTCAATGTTGATTTTATTGAAATATTTAAGCCCATCTAGAGGCATGCAACTTTAATTTCTATTTATAACGCTGTGAAGTTGATCAGTTGTGCGCAGAACCGAACCCTTCGATATATGCCTAATACATACACAGGTTGCAAAATAGGGTCAAGACAAAATATTCCATGGCAGCCACTTTTGAAAAATGTGTTGCCAACAGTAAATAATGTATGAAACTGTTCAAATTTAGCTGTACTTGAGAAAGGGCTTCAAAATGATGACCTATGCAGAAGTAAACGCTACTATTACAGGCTACGATAATTCTAACTTTGTGTTGTTAAATATTATTCAGTGACTATAACATGTTAAAATGTAACGTTTGTCTGTTGGATATACGTATAAAAACTGAGAACCTGAGGTTAATAGTAAAATATATCATAAATTTGACGTTTACAGTAGAAATTTATTATTTAATTGTCACTTTTTAAGAAGTATCAGCGGTCACCGTATAAAATATCGTTCTTATATTGATAACAGGGTATCAACATTAAACTTTAAACTTAATTTTTATTCAGAGTTATACGTGAAGTCCAAAATATCTAAAAATCGTGAATTATGAGTCATTAAATGCAAAACAGTAAAAGCCCTATACTTTCGGAAATATTCACCACATTTTCGTATGCCAAATATAACGTGTAAGTCTTCACAGATTTTTTGTTTATAGCATGCAAGAAACATATTACTCTAGATACTGCATTATTTTGCAAAATATTGTAAATATGACTTTAGGATATATAAAAATACCGGATTTTGGTGGCCATCTTGGTGGCCATTTTGAATTTTGGCCTCCATTTTGATTTTTAGGCTAAGGAGCTAGACCGATAATTCAAAGTTGTATTTAACGCGAAAACATTTTGTTTACGAAAATTTTCAATATAATATGTACATTTTTGTTCCTTAACAAGGTTATAAAGGAAAGTACATTATTATCAATAAACAATCTCATTTGTCATGGTTGAATAAATTCCGGTAGTATTTAGTACAACGTAGTATATAATATTTTGAGAGTAACCTTGTGTTCGCAAGTTTCGTAAGTTGAGAAATAACTTCAATTTGTATTGTTTGGTAATATTTAACTGAGACCTATTCATCTTCGGAAGCCTTTTCGTTAGTTTTCGCAACGATTTACTAATATATTTTTAATAATAGGAAAGTTCTCGATACTTTATCTGAAATTTAGTTACATACGTCACGATGGCACTGAGGATAGCAAAGCAAATTTTTATAAGTTCATAAATTATTTTTTTTAATAAAAATGCAGCATTAGTGAAATAGACGAATCTTGTCTTTTCGTTAAAGACAATCATAACTTTGATATATATTATTACAGTTTGTTAATAAACAATTGCAATGTAAAGCTAGGTTATATATAGTATGTTCTAAAAGTTGTAGCGGGATACCAGTTTCAGTTACCTGAATATTACATGTACAACAGTTAACAGAAATTATTTGAATTATTGAATGAAATTTATCTTTTTTAGGGATATCAGTAAAGTTACCTTTTGGCAAAAAATTACAAAACATAAAATAATTTTTAATGAGTATCCAAACAACCCCTTATTTCATTTACATATATTCGATGGGCGCTATTTCAGTGACTCCAACCTTATTTCTAAGCTTGCAATAGGTAAAAGATATGGTTTCCATACACAAATCGGGCAATAGATTTGATAAATACTTAAGATAAACACTGGAAGAAGTCATGCTCGGAAGCATTAAATTAAATAACAACATAATTACTCGGTTTGACTGAGTCTGTATATGAGGCATAATGAAAAAGTGCAACGTCCCTCACGACCCCAGCGTTGGCTTTGGCAGTATAAAATTTTCAACACAAAAAAGTGCTGAAATCAATTATCCCGAGGGACCAGAAAATCATAACACTGAATTGAAGAAAGGCTTCCTTACGGCAATTGACATCTTCTGTATACAATCTGGAAAAAGACTGATCCTTCGGAAGAATTCATCACAACAAAATGGAATGAAAATTGCCAAACTTCAATCAAGATACAGAACACATTAATAAAGATGGAGACATAATAAGCAATCGTGTGAAACAGAAAGGGATAGGGTAAAAGAAAGTGACACTAGATGTAATTAAATTATAACAAAAACGGGTACCTTAAATCATTTCAAATTGCATCCATTGCCCTGCCTATGATGTTTTTTTATTCATGTGAGAAAACTTATCAGCTGTCTTTTCTTAAAAGTATTGGTCTATTCAGATGCACACTTCTGCCCTAAATTATGCATGAAGCTGCATTTGATATCTTTTTTCTAAACCAATAAAGCGGGAAACGCCACGTGGCCTTTAAAGTGTCCTTGAATCGACTTGTTGAACATCTACGAGTACATGTATTTAACCACAACGATGCTGCTACGTACAACTCCTTTTTAGGAATACACAACACGTTATATTATTTTTCATTTTCTATACTCATGCAACAAGCCTTATAAAATAATATTTTGTAAACAAAAGTATTGCTACATTACCATCATAATAAAGTATCAACATAATTACACTTTTACTCACCGCAAATGTATAAAGCCAAAAATAAGAACACATAGTGGACTTGCATATTCGTCGTTGCGTCTGTCGCTGCCCAAATTACTTTCTACTTCTGTATGAAATTTCACGCCTCAGGTTTATAACTTTCGGGTTGTCAAATATCCTTTTTTTTGTTGAAATCATCAAAAATGATATGAATTGATATAAGAAAAAACGAAAAAACTGAATATTAGATGAAACATTGTACAAAGGTCAAGAAGATTTTTCAAAAATACATTTTGATATGATTGGATTGTTTTCTTATCATCGAAAATAACATGACATACAGGAATACAATTACAAATTCAATATTCCAAAACGTTCATTGATCTCTAAATAATCGCCGATATATCTGTTTATATATTTATTTGCCAATAATTGACATAACGCCGCCTGTCAATCAAGCTTTGGCAGGGGTCTTACAGATAAGCCAATCGGCGATCGACTTCGGTTTCATGCTAAGATGTTTGCAAAGTCCGCAATTACAAGCTTTATGTATAAAACAATGTTGCAGCAGTATCTATATTGAAATTATTTTGATTTTCTTTGTCAATTTAAAGCTATTAAATCGGTATATCTAAGTTACCAAATATCCTGACATATTGGCAAATGTAGTCAGTTAGTTCATTACCAAAAAAAAAATAAATAAAATAAAATAAAAAATAAATAAATAAAAAATATCAGTTACTTTGTATGCTAAGTATATGAAGAAAATAAATTATTCAGCAGGTACGAAAGTTAAAATTGTCTATACCACACTACATTTAACAAGGAAAAAGTTTAAACAATTACTCTATTCCTTCCTTTATTACAATTATGTCCATTCATAATCACATAATATATTATAAGGTCCCAGAATATCCAGATGGTATGACATATTTTGTTCGTTTATAACAAAGTTTATAATAAAATGTTGCAGTAGAAAAAAGTACTTACAAATAAAATGAGAGAATATGCAATGAATATTTTAGGTGAAATTATCCTACCTAAATATTCCTATTAAAGCTCAATGAATTATGAATATATATTTGCTTCTATAAGATCATATCTGATCATGGTTTTAATTTAAAACCGAGGTTTAGTGTATGCGAAACTTATTTTGAAATGAATAATATTGCGTTTTATCACGAAACATATCTAATGTGCAAATATACATATAATCATATATTAAAGTTACGCAAGGGTAATTTTCTCATTGAATTTTAACAATTTATGCACAAATGCATTATATATAAGTGATTTCGCACATAAAACCCTAAAAACATTTGTAAATGTTACTGTGTTATTGATATAATTTTACTATTTATATGTTCCGCTACTTAAATTTTAACTATCTTTGAATTTGTAAACTAAAATGATATTCTGTTAGTAACATCTTCCTTGAAGTCAACGAGAAATATAACAAGATCTTAGCCAAACGTTTCATTCATCATTAATGCATGAATGCATTTATTTGTTACTTTTATTTAAATACCATGATACATTGAATTAATCAAGAAAAGCATTTAATTTAAAATTCTATATATACCAACTTATATAAGGTAAATTAATTAGGCACTTTAGTGGCATAATAGTTTCCCGTAAACGTCGGTACCGTGTTTTGTCTAAGGTTGTGAATGACCGGGTAACGTGAACCAGTGGGCGGAGCAATCTCTTCTCTGGCGTAATACCAATTGTGCGACTTGACCATGGATACACATACTTGATAAAAAAGCAAAACCAATAAAAACAAAAAGTGACACAATCTTCCCTATATTATGAAAACAATTAAAATATAGTTTGTATCGTAGTAAATACTGAGATAACAGCCGAAAATATAAACGACATTCGACCCACGCCCAAACACATATGAGCCGCGTCACGACAAAACCAACATAGTGCGTTTGCGACCATCATGGATCCAGACCAGCCTGCGCGTCCGCGCAGTCTGATCAGGATACATGCTGTTCGCTTACCAACCCTATAACAAGTAGAGAAAGTGATAGCGAACAGCATGGATCCTGATCAGACTGCGCGGATGCGCAGGCTGGTCTGGATCCATGCTGGTCGCAAACGCACTATGTTGGATTTGTCATGACACGGCTCATAAATGCTAATTATGAATGCTATCTAAATAAACTTGGAATATTGTACACACTTCCTAAGACTTGTTTTCCTTCTTATAACATTTGGTAACTTTCACTGATTTGTAGTGCAGTTTATTTCAGTGTTATTGTTTTTAAAATAAATTACATACATGGTTTAATGATTAATTCAATCTATAAATGTTTTGCTTTATAGCAAGGTAACACTTTACTTTTAACTTTATATGAAGTTTAAATCAAACATAAAAGAAATCACTGGATTGTATTTAGATGTAACATCAAGCATCTAGATGTCATTATATGTTAAAAATTAGACTTTCCACAAAACATGTTTTCTTAGTGAGTGAGCTTATTATATACTGATATTTAATTCTTTTAAACATTGATAATTCTCTCGAAGTAATTTTATTTATATAGGTTCTACCTTGTGCCCTGGCCTGCTTTTTTTTGGGGTCCTCCTGGGCTCCTTACCACCGTTTCTTGTTGCTGTGTATGTGGAGGTAGCGTTCATTGAACGCCGCCTTTCCTTTTTTATCATATTTTGACTTACATTAATGACTCATATAATTGTGAATCAACATCATGAAAAATCCATGATTTCTGTCAAAAGTCTTTCCTTAATGAACTGTATTGCTTTTAGGAACTGCTAGTGACTACACTAAATTTATTCTATCTTAAATGATTAAGTAAAGTCTATATGAATATTTTCATGTTTGCTGCAGTGTCATCAACAAAGGACTGAAGTTGTATTATTATTCGCTATAAAAGGCCTTATACATGTAGAAGCAAAAGATATATGAGAAGGACGATTATTCACATTTCAGACTTATGCAACGTCCTTTGTACATAAGGCTATTACATGTATCATCAAATTCAGTCTGTTAAGTTGGTCTATTTGAATGCTTTTAATTAAAAATGGAAACTACCGTTTCTGTATTGTTTGACAAACAAGAGTACATATTTTACATTAACGATAGTTCGTCAATTTAGTAATTTTTCATTACAGGTCATATTACTCCGAAACAAGACAGATGATTTTGATTAAACTCGGGTGTCATAAACTCCAAAGCAAGAAAAATTAAACAATCAAAAATCTACATAACATACTTATGATTAATTTATTGAACTGATTTTTACCTCTACCGGATTCACAATGTCATTAGAGTGAAACTGAAAATGATATGAAACAATCAATAAATATATATAGAAGCAAGCCTTGGACAAATTTCGTAAAATTCAAGATGTTTTATGTCATTCGTCAATGACCAATAAATTGAAACAATGTAAAATAATTTCATAACATAGAGCGTGAAAAACCATCATTTGGTATACGTATCACTTGAAGTGTATAATTTTAAGGTACGTGGGTTATTTTGTGGGGGCAACCGTGGCCTAGTTGTTAAGGACGTTGTCTTTAAACCACTTGTCCCTCTCTATTGTGGATTCGAAGGGAATTATTTCTTGTGAGGAAACTATCCATATAGCTTGAACATCGATAGTTCTAATCAGGTGGGCCGCTCGTGCCTGAAATAATGCACGGAAGGGCACCCGAGGATTTCCTTTACCAATCAAGCTGGAAAGTTGCGATATGACTTCTGTGTTGGTGCGACGTAAAACCAAATCAACAAGAGCACCGCTAGGCGGAGCATTATATACCCGAAAGTGTTTTTTTAGTAAGGATGAATCATTTCTTAGACATAAGAATTAAATAAAGTACTACCTCCTTCAAAAAGCAATCCTCCTATGGACAATCATCCTTTTGAGTTTGAACGCTGTGTGCCAAATGGAACTTAAGGTATGTTCCAGAAACTGTTTCCAGTTTTAAGGTAACCTTAACCTTTGACTTTGTGACTCCAAAATCAAAAGGGGGCTTCTACCCAATATGGACAATCATGCAATGAAGTTTGAACATTGTGGGCCAAATGGAGCTTAAGGTATCCTCAGGAAACTGTTTTCAGTTTCACGTAACAGTGACCTTGACCTTTGACCTTGTGACCCCAAAATCAATAGGGGTCTTCTACCCAATATGGACAATCATTCTATGAAGTTTGAATATTGTGGGCCAAATGGAACTTAAGTTAAGCTTCAGAAACTGTTTTCAGTCTTAAAGTAATAATGACCTTGACTTTGACCTTTTGACCCCAAAATCAATAGAGGTCTTCTACCCAATATGGACAATCATACTATGAAGTTTGAAAATTGTGGGCCAAATGGAACTTAAGTTATGCTCCGGAAACTGTTTGACCTTTGACCTTATGACCCCAAAATCAATAGGGATCTTCTACCTAATAAGGAAAATCATTCTATGAAGTTTGAGCACTGTGGGCCAAATGAAACTTAAGGTATGCTCCGGAAACTGTTTTCAGTTTCAGGTAACAGTGACCTTGACCTTTTAGCTTGTGACCCCAAAATCAAAAGGGGGCTTCTACCCAATATGAACAATCATACTATGAAGTTTGAACACTGTGGGCCAAATGGATCTTAAGTTATCATCCGGAAACTGTTTTCAGTTTCAGAAAATAGTGACTTTGACCTTGTGACCACAAAATCAATAAGGGTCTTTTACCCAATGTGGACAATCATTCTATGAAAGTTGAAAATTGTGGGCGAAATGGAACTTAAGTTATCCTCAGGAAACTGTTTTCAGTTTTAAAGTAATAGTGACCTTGACCTTTGACCTTGTGACAGCAAAATCAAAAGGGGTCTTTTACCCAATATGGACAATCATACTATGAAGTTTGAAAACTGTGGGCGAAATGGAACTTAAGATATGCTCCGGAAAACTGTTTTCAGTTTTACGGTAATAGTGACCTTGACCTTGACCTTGTGACCCCAAAATAAATAGAGGTCTTCTACCCAATATGAACAATCATCCTATGAAGTAGCAATATTGTGGGCCAAATGGAACTTAAGGTAAGCTTTGGAAACTTTTTTCAGTTTTAAGGTAAAAGTGACCTTGACCTTTGACATTGTGACCCCAATATTTAAAGGGTGCTTCTACCCAATATGGACAATTATACTATGAAGTTTGAACACTGGGCCAAATAGAGCTTAAGTTATCTTCCGGAAACTGTTTTCAGTTTCAGGTAATAGTGACTTTGACCTTTGACTCCAAAATCAAAAGGGGTCTTCTACCCAATATGGACAATCAGAATATTGTGGGCCAAATGGAACTTAAGTACCGTTCAAGCCGGTGCTAGGGGACGTGAGGGGTGTTGCACGTATTCATTATCCCTCATGTACAGACTCAATTAAACCGATTCTGCAATTCTCTTGTAATTTTGTTGTGATTAATGCTTCCGAGGGATCACTTTGTTACCAGAATTTCTAAGTTATGCTGCAGAAACTGTTTTCAGTTTTCAAATAATAATGACCTTGACCTTTGACTTTGTGACCCCAAAATCAACAGGGGTCTTCTACCCAATATGGACAATCATCCTGTGAAGTTTGATCACTGTGGGCCAAAAGGAACTTAAGTTATGCTCTAGAAACTGTTTTCAGTTTTAAGGTTAAGGTGACCTTGACCTTTGACCTTGTGACCTCAAAATCAATAGGGGTCTTCTATCCAATATGGACAGTCATCTTATGATGTTTGAATATTGTGGGCCAAATGTAACTTAAGTTATGCTCCGGAAACCAAATTGCTAACGGACGCACAGACAGACAAACAGACAGACAGATGGATGGACAGACGCCAGGGAGTATCACATAATATGCCCGAAATTTTTTCGGGCATATAAAAATGGTTATTTTGTGAGTATCTGTTAAAAAAATTGTTGTCATGCGATAAATTAATAATCTGTATCAACACAAACATACTATAAGAATATGTCCGTATCTAACAACATTGTATAGCTTGTCACGTGAGGTAATATTGTTATATATGAGGAACATTCTAAACATATCAATGTTCTTGTGAAATGAAATACTGTTGTCCGAAAAATCAATTTCCAAACTCCCGAATAGTAGACTAATAGTACCAATCTAAGTTTAGAAATCTGCAGGTCGTTCATATATCAGAACTTCAAAAGGTTCAGATTTCCTAATTGATCAATATTATTGGCTTGTTATGTAGACTGCATTCATAATGGTTCTCCACTGCCGGAAATATCGGACAAACAAACTGCGTTTGTTATTCAGAAAACCTGCATTTTACAAAGAGAAAACAACTTTGCGATAATCAGCAGAATTCATAACATGAATTTACCATTTAAAAAGGACATTATAAATACAGCAAAATCCTTTGAATATAAACACTATAATATTATCGTACATCTTTTTTGACAAACGAATAAACACAAACAATATACCATTCTGTCATTATGCTTCAATCTATTGTTATGTTATATTTGCATACATTCATATTTTCATTAGTAAAAAGTCTAAATAACATCTATGTCAAACATGTTAACTAAAAAACACAAGAATGCCAAACATGTTAACAGTTCATTACATATCTTTTTTTATCTTATCTTTAAATTCAAATTGCAGAATAAGTTGCATAAAGTACACTAAACTTTACGTTATCCTTAAAGATGTCGAAATAAAAAATTGTAATCTGATTACAACAAGATTAATAAATGATTATACGTTATAATATAATATATACAAGTCCTGTAAAATGAAATGTAATTCATTAAACAAAATAAAGTACTGAAAATTGTTAAAACAGGAGAGAGTGCTCAAAAAGCACATACTGTTACGTAAATAAAGCATACAATAATAAAACTGAATTAAAATTAATAACTGCCAATTTGATATGCAGTAACAGGTATAAAATAAAGTGACATAAGAACCAAACATGTCAGTACTCATCAATGAAAGGTTCCAGCAATAATGCTTCATAAATCTTATATATAATTGTATCATTTGTTCTATGCGCTATGGCAGACATTTACAAGAAAGTAAGGGAAAACATTAAAAAATATTTAGAGTTTAATTCATATTATAACGAAAACAGTTATGTCCCTTTTGTATATACTAGTTTACAGCAGTTTTTTTGTCACTAAAATCCAGATGTACACACTCCTACTAATGGCATACTACAAATGTGACGATTTGTTTTGGACTAAAGTACATCAATATGTAACTTACTAGAATTAGCAGTCTTGACAGTTACCTCATTAATCTTAATGAAATAAATGAATAATTAACGTTGTAAACAAAAGAAAATATCAACTGTACACATTTTTGCATTGTTTACTGATCAACGCAGACAATACAACACAATATATCACGTGGTAAAGGCACTGTGATTTAGTAATAGTGCCAACATTCTCACTTACACGCTTATTGAGATTATTTAAATTGCAATTGTTGTCCATCTTAGAAAAGAAATTGTGCAGTACAACAAATTCTTTGGAAGGTTTTGTCAGGATGTAATGCCCAGGAGTACCGGCTTTGCCTCAATTTCTTACAACCGTTTTAGCTGTGCCGGTTATCAACAATCAAAGTTTGCATTTTAAGAAACAATATGCAAAACACGCTTTATATAAAATTATGAACTTCTAATTATACAAGGTAATATACTAGTAATAGGAATTAACAAAAAATTAAAGGGAAATTATTATTAATGTAACATAAAAGGTGTGTCCCTTCTTAGACTGTTTTTTTAAAATTGCGTGTACAAGATTTTGAGAAGCCCTTTGAAAAATTGTAAAAATAATGTGACAGACAGTTACAAAGAAGTCACTCGAACCATTCAATGTCTTAGGCATTCATAGACATGACCTGATGAACGTTCACCTAGGTTTGATTCAGTCGATGGTAGTTTTTCACTAAGATTAGATTCAGTGGCATTGATGTACATTGGATCTCGTATTCTTCTCGATATGGATGGATTGTTGACCATTTCAGTGGACGCCCTTGAACCTTTAACAACAAAATAAAGGGGGAAACTATCAAACAAACAAACATACAAACAAACATTAAAATTAAAATATAAATAAACACTATTCAACAGTATATAGAGAACAAACAGAATATTTTGTGAATTATATTTTCCTCTGATATTATTTAAGTAGGTACATATAAAGTCATTGACACCGAGAGCTGTTTATGTAACTTCGTTATATAATAATAACTTGTATCAAGAAAACAACATGTCTTTATGTCAATTTTATTTTAAAAAAATAACAATCTTTTACCTCAACATATTGTTTTATCTGGATTCTGCTATTTGTATGGCATATGACGATATCTTGATAAATATAAGGAAGCAGTTAATCAACTATATTATATGAAAATTGCAGACTTGGTTTGAAGAAGTCTTTCGGGAGGAATATTTTAAAAACGGGAAAATCTCTTACGGCCCTAATACCGGCTTACAGCAATATCTTATTTTCAATGCTAACGTGCTTGAATCAATGGTACCGAAGAGGAGAATAATTTGACAACAGCATTGAGCACATTTTTAGCAGCATAACTATTTTTTACCTTTTGCCCTGTTCTCTTCCTTTCTATATTTCCGTCGTCTTAATCTATAGTTATAAAATAATGAATTCATTATCAGTACGAAGGAACAAATTCGTAATTATGAAATCTAACAAAATGATACAACAATTTTCTGCTTTTAAATAACTATACAATGTTTTAACATTCTTGATTAGTTTGGCTTACCGTTATTTTATTGACGCAACATAACGACAACTGACCTCATGTTTAAATATTTATCGGACATTTTACGTGACATCATTATACAAATGAAATTACAAACGTCTAATCTTCAGAAGTCGTTTTAATACTTTTAAAGTTTTAAGCGTTAGTATAATGTAGTATCTATATAGGAAGAGCGTTTTATGCAAACGGAAACAAAAATATTTTAGACTTCATAATATAATGATATCTGAGAGCGCGATGCGCCAAATTCTTCATGCAATCTATTAAGTTTAATGAAGAAGAAAATAACTATAATACATGTGTCTAATAACACCATTTAATCCAAAGGCAACAGCATTAACAGCAATGCAGATGACCGTAACGACAATATGATTGTGACAGTTTTGTGTTTTCTCTTGTGCTAAACTACCAGCATCTGTAATAGTTTCAACGATTTCATAATTGTTAGTGAATTTATTTTCCCTATTTAAATAGTAGTAGCTATACTAAATTGAATAGGCATTGATTTAAGAAAATACGGGAACCACTATAAAATATAATGATAGATTAGATGGTGTAGCACTTCAGTTTTTAAACTTATCAAGATATGCAGTAGGAATAAATGAAAATGGAACAAAATGAATTTAAATTGGTCGAACCTAAAACATCAGGACATGACAATGAGCAAGATCCAGTACTAATGCTGCAACATCGACACTCATCCCGGCATGTGTTTTGACAAAACAATCCCCATCGACCTGGTGGACATGCACTGCAATAACCAGTGTCTCTATAGCATTGAAGGCATTTATCAGATTTGCATGAAGACTGACAGTCCTCACCCCAAAATCCAGGTTGACATAATGTGCATATTCCATTTGTTATAGAGCACTGTTCACATCTTGTGCTGTTGCACATGTTGGAACAATCCTGACCCCAGTATCTGTTTTTACAAGTTAAACAATGTCCAGTTTGCCTGTGACAACCCCATGAACAAGATGTGCTACATATTTTTTCACAAAACATTCCCCATTTATTTAAATGACATTTCTTACATTCGCCGGACTCGATAAAACATTCAAAAGTGGAACACGACTGATTGCATTCTTGTCTGCATGATGGCCCCCACAATCCAGCATTGCATGTTTTGCACACACCAATGTCTTTACTACAGCTCAAACAATTTTTACTGCATGTCTTGTTACAAACGTCTCCCCAAAATCTGCTTTTGCAAAGATTACAATATCCGTCACTTTTTCTACAAGTTGTGTAATCACAGCCTTGACCGCAAGCATTCTGGCAAATTTCGCCCCAAAAACCATTCTTGCAACTGCTGCACTCTCCATCGTCCCTATCACAGGTTAAGGATTCACAACCATGGCCACAGATTTCATCACACGATAAACCCCAAAGTCCAGACTTGCAAGTGCTACATTGTCCGTTTGATCTAATACAGCTTGACGAGGAACAGTTGTACATGCATTTGTTGTCACAATTTGCTCCCCAGAGGCCGGATGTACAGCTGCTACAATTTCCATTGCTTTTATCACAGCTTGATGAACAATTCTGACTGCATTTATTCTCACAAAAGTCACCCCAGTATCCAGAAATACATGCATTACACCCATTATTTATGCAATATGAGACCGAGTTGCAATTTTCAACACTACAAGGTATTGTGCAGTTTTGACCAGCATATCCAGATTGACATGATGTACATAGTCCATCAGTTTTACCGCATTTATCCGACTCACAGTTTCCACAAGTTTTCTGACAGTTTGTCCCCCAAAATCCTGCTTTACACGTCTGACATTCCCCTGATGTGATAGTACAAATATCACAATTCGACGCAGGACATCTTTCGTCACATGAACTATTCCAGTATCCGTTTTTACATTTCTCACACCCACCTGCTAATTTGTCGCATATTTTGCAGTTTGGAGTGCATGTGTAGTTACAGAATTCTCCCCACCAACCAACATTACATGTTGTACATGCGCCGGTCGTTTGATGACATTTCCTGCAATTTGTATCACACATATTTTTGCACGTTGTACCGAACAAACCATCCAGACAAGACTGACAACTTCCATCTTGATTGCATGAAGAAGAGCTACAGTTTTCTGGACATTTTCTATTACAGAAGTCATCCCAAAAGCCGTATCTACAATAACCACATACTCCAGTTTCTTGATCACAAGAATATGAACTGTAACAGTTAACCTCACACTCTTGCTTACAGTCAGTTCCCCAGTAACTATTTGGACATGCGCTGTCGGCTTTTTTAACTAAACGAAATAAATATTTAGTTGTCATCAAATTAGATTACCAGATCAATACTATTTATATTCATATAATAAATTTCAATCACTAATTAGTTAACAGAATAATAATGTTATGGACATTGCAACATATATTAACCTTAATACGTGTTATGCGCAATAAAAATTGCTGCTAAATTTAATGTGAACACATTTAATTTATGAAAATTTGAAAGATAATATCTACATTTTAGTTTCTTAAAAAGGAGACAAACTAAAGAAAGGACCGTATTCCGAAAAAAAGAAGAAGAGAAAAACAGTCTCACAAATATGATTGACGTAAATATCTAAATGAATTTACGTCATTGAGTGCATATACTCCTGAAGTTTTTAAATTTTAACATATATGAATTGACCGGGTCCTATTTCAGTGTATTTGCCAGCAGCAAAGGGCAAATGATTTGGTTTCGATACACACATCGAGCAAAAGTTTCTATGAAACTGGAAGAAGAGCGTTTTCTCGGACGCATCAATCACAAAAAACTACATAAAACATGTTTTTGATTGAGTCTGTACATGAAGGATAATGAAACAGTCTAACATCCCTCACTTCTTCAACACCGGCTTGTAGGGAACACGGAAGTACTGAAATAAATGATCCCGATTGACCACAGAATTAAAATAACACAGAAGTGTACGAGGCAACTTTTACAGCTTTCTCATGGCACCGGACATCTACTGTGTGAAGTGCAAAACACGGAGGAGAAGTGATCCCTCTGAAGCATTCATCACAAGAAAATTGCATATAAATTGCCAAATTGTAATAAAGATACAGAACAGTCGTGAAAAAAGGGGTGGGTAGAAAAAAGGGACACAAGATTTAATTATATTATAATTTCAATTTTATTTTAAGTATCATAATTAGAGGGTACCTTAAATCATGACAAATCGCTCCCATTCCCCATGATGTTAAGAATCCCACCAGGGCTATGATTTATTTTATATGAGAAAAATGATTAGTTTTCTATGGTGAAATTGTATTGGTTGGTCTACTCAGATGCACACTCGTCCCTTGAATAATGCACGAAGCTGCATTTGATTTCTTCTTTCTCAACTAATGAAGCGGGACACACAACATGGCCTTTGTAGTCTCGGGGGACATACAATCAAAAACAAAAGATAATTTATCATTTCAATCTTATCAACTTGTTGAACATCTACAAGTACATGAATTTAACCACAACGATGCTAGTATGTACATCTCCATTAGTGATAGACGGCACGATTATTTTTCATTAACTATACTCATGCTAAAAGCCTTGTAAAATAATTATTTGGAAACAAACAATATTGCTACATTCCCTATATAATAAAGTATCTATATAATAATATTTTAACTCACCGCAAATGCATAACGCCAAAAAGAAGAACACATAGTGGACTTGCATCTTCATTGTTGCGTCTGCCAATGCCCAAATGACTTCCTTTGCCTGTATCGAAATACAATATATACGAATGCAATATTCTAAACGTTTATTAGTCTCTTAATATTGTATGCACTTGTTTAATTCTGCAAACTAAGCGACTGAAAACAATAACATACTAGATACGAAAGCAAACACAATCAAAACTAAAACAACACCATCTTCCTTATATCAATTTGAAACCAATAGGAATACCCTTTGTATCGTAGTAAATACTGATATAGCAGTTGGATATAAACGATATTCGATCCGCGCCAAAAACACACTTATAGTTATAATAAATGTTATCTACTTAAACAAATTTGGAAATCGTACAATTTATCTTACACATTTATTTCCTCTTTATAAAATTGGATAACATTTAAATCAATTGATTTGTAGTGCGTTTTGTTTCCCTGTGATTGTATAAAGATAAATTACATACAGTTACACTTCAAGCACTCGCACCCAGATTGCTCTTATATATCCCTCTTCTCGAACGTATCGCCCAGTTCCGGCAAAAATTATATACAGTAAAACTTCGGTAAGTCGAAGTTGAAGGGACTTGCGTAAAAACTTCGACACATCGGGACACGACTCATAAATCGGTCTCAGTCTCATAACAAAATTTCGACCCGTTGACGTAAATAAGGAAGTAAAAAAAGGCGTAACAATAGGAAAGGGCGATAACTTGACCAGTTTTTAGTAAATATTTCGCGTGTGATTATCACGCGACACCGGGTCACGGAAGTCCTCAAATGAAAGTACATGTAGTTGTTACACTGTCTTACTGTTTACTTCTGTCAAATATCTCAAGATCGAAAGATGTCAAAAATATCAAAGGACTTCGGCTTATTTGTGGTGAATTGTACTTAATTTATTCTATACGGACCATGAAAAAACTTCGACAGAACTCATAAATAGGTTTTTATAAGGAATATATAGGGGTTAAAATCGGAACTTTCCTTTTACTTCGACACATCGAGAAAATCGACTAATTGAAGTTCGACTCATAGAAGTTCTACAGTATATATAGAAAGTCATGAGCGGGAAATTGTACATAGAAAAGTCGCACGAATATCGGTACGCAGGAGCCGGAACTCGAACCACGGGTCTCTGGATTGCCGGTCCAGTATGCTAACCACTACAGCACAGCGGCCGTTGCGTTTTCATGGTGCTAATTGGCTTTATATACTTTAGTTACTTTAAACTTTATTGTGACGTGATCACTTTTATTACCATTTATAGCTACTTTTACTCAGTCAATATTAATTTCTATTATTATAAGATTATTATACAGATCGCTGGAACTCTGATCTCTGGTTACTTTTGACAAAATTATAGTGGAAATTAACCTTTTTCGGTCGAACACAGACAACAAAGTTGGGGATCGAAATGTTCTGAATAAGTGACAGTCGGCGTCACATGTTTTAACATCTCGTGATAAAGGCAATTAAGGCTTAGCCTAACTGATACTAAATTAGAGGTCTGCAACCGATTTGTTTGATTATAATAATATTGTTTATTTGCCGTCTTTAGTAACGATAAGAAGAAAATTTCGAAGTATGTAAAATGAGCAAACGTCAATAAATGTCCGTGTACGCTTTTAATTACAACCGTAGTTCATGTAATATAAATCCGTGATGTAACGTGTATTGCAATTATCGATTTATAGAATGATGCTTGTACGTGTTTATTTTTGTAAATGAATACAGATAGATGCTGCTGTTAAAATCTTGCTCTTATGATTTTGTTCTTTAAAATTATGTTTTATCTTTCTCATAATGCCAGCCCGCCATGGCGAGCCGGTATTACGTTAGGATTTTACTGAGGAAACAATAGAAAATAACATAAAACTCAAAATCAATCCAAATTATAACAGAATATTGGCTTGATTCACCTGTTTGAGATGGACTAAAATTCAATTATCCAATCAAATTTAAGCTAACATAGCGACATTAATCCTTCTATTTTATCGCAAGTAATAATAAAAAAACAACATAAAAAACAGCAAGACTTAGTATAGTTTTAAGCGCAATGATATTATGATGATACAAATGTTTGTTTTATGATATCGTTTTAATTGATCATATTTTCACTGAAGTTTGATTTGCTTTATTTCACCTGTTTTCTCGTTAAGTTAATTAAGATAAGTGTTCATCTGTTGTTGTCATTTTTGTATTTTGATTTTAAATTTTTTTTCGGGTCATTTTACTTTTTCTATTATTTAGTGATTTTACTCTCCGATGTGGCTTCCGTATTGATTTTCCCATAGGCTTAAAAGGTTACCTCGTACTTTCTGGAGGATTTCTAGCCGAGTAATGACCGTTGAATCACACTGTGTTTTGTACTGTTAATAATTTTTGTGTCACCTGCTACGCTGTATCCGAGCATGCAAATGAGGCGACGCATGTCTTCACTAAAGGCCCTTGCTATTAAAATCATAGTACACTTTTCTCAAGTTGTATTTTCTTGAAATATGCTGGCTCATCTAAAGAAGACGTCGTTTGACTTGGATACTGCAATATTTGACGGTAAAGCGGTAAAGCACAATACAGTTATTATTTATGATACAAACTGTATCTTAGAAATGAAATATCATACTCGTTCAGTAAATTATAGAAATACTTGCCAACTCATACTTAGCTTAAATGGACAAAATTTAAAGAAAAAAGTTTTTTTATGAAGATTTTTAAAAGTTTTTTTTTATTTGAAATACTAAATCGTCATCAAAGTTTATGCCATGACGTCATGAAAATATCTTTCATGTGTTCTTTAAAATATCTTTAAATATGTATATCGCTTGGAGTTCGATGTCATTCCCGAAGTTCAAACAGTGTGATACAACTTGTATCTAATTGATTGTTTTTAATTTTTCAAAAAAAAGCCTCCAAAAACGTAACAATAAATAAATAAATAAATAAATAAGATGTAATTATAGCATAACCTTTATGCATACGACAAATCATCCTGGAGAAGAGTCATTAATTATCGACAGAAAAATCGAAGGTCACATTGAAAAATAGCAACTTACAGCTTTTTTCCATGGAAAAAAGGGAAAGGAAAGTTCTTTGCATATTCAAGAAATTTTCAATTGGGAATCGTATAAATTTACCTTTTTTTGACAGCCTTAAGTTTGGATAAGTACGGATGTCCTATGAGCTTAACACTCTCTTAAAAGTTTATCTACATGCAACATTCCATAACTATATAAAATATGCACCTCCTTTTGTAAGATAAAATATCTGATAAACTTTAACTTCTGTCATATATCTAAAGGCGCTATCTCTATCCTTAAGCATCCCTGTTTTACAATATTTATTTCCTCATATCATGTCAGTTCCTGTATTAGATGCATTTGAATGTATAGGTGACCAATTGAATAAAACTCCATACTCAAACTTAAATGGTATTCACATTCAGTATTATTTGATTGAGAACACCTCAAGGTAACCCCTTCCTAATCTTACAAATTCTCAGTTAAACTTAGTTTATTCGAATCTGAATACCACTTTACAGAATAGTTGAGGACTGTGTTGAACGTTAGGCAATTATATGGGCTTTACTCAATGAGACTGAGTGAAAGTATCGAGAAATGACGTATTTAACACAGTCAGTGCTTGGATTGGATCCTATACATGCACATGACCTATCCCGTTTTTGTTTTATAAATTAGATATTTATTTACATTTCTAATGCTATTTATTTGATCTTTTTTTTTGTTTTAGAAGAAGTTACTCAGTGCGGAAACAGCCGTTTGTATATTTTATACTGTATTAATATAGATCGTGTTACAGGCATATAATATAGTAAACAGCCAGGATAAGCGTCACTTGCACAATTAAACTTGTGCCTTCCGTAGCAACAAAAGAGTCTAAGGTTGACGATGACGCCGAGTTAATTATCGGTTTTCTGCAGTTGCGTGCCTTGATCCCTATAATTACATTATAAACAACAGGCCTGTGTATCGGACCCTATGAAGAAAATATGACCACATTGATAAAAAACCTCTGTGTTCATCTTAAATGTGTAAAGAAAAGTGAAATATGAGCCCCTTAAAAATATACTATAAGTTAAGAGAAGGCCGGAAAATCCAGATTCGAGTTGACGAACAAGTGGTTTATTTCCCGGGACGTTGTGAAAACAATTGTCCAGATAATTAAATAAAAAAAATCTCACAATTTCACGTTTGTATTAAGCTTCCAAATTAAGACCGACCCCAAGTCTTTTAACTTGCACTTTCCAGTACCGTCCATGAACAGGCTCAATCAAACCGAGCCTGCAACATTTTCAATTTTGCCGTGTTGGGCTTTCTTTAGGGATTCTATATTTATCTATTTTATGATCACATCCGTGTTATTTGTGCCGTGTGGCGGCTGTAAAAAGTCTCCCCGTACATTTAATCAATGATGTTATAGTTTCGATCCTTGAAGATCGTTCAGCACGACATTATTGTTGTGCTTGTGGTATTTTTAGTTTCAACTTTTCGTCATTTTCTAGTTGGCTGGTTCCAATATTCCTACTTGAATAATGTTGAATCACCCTTAGGATATGTTGCCTGTATTTTAAATTTGTCTTTTGACGTCTTATCTGTGATACGCAGGCTTCATAACCTCTGATCCCCTTTCAAAATTCCATTTTATTTAGTTCCGCCCATTGTTTTCTCGTTTATGGCACACGCTTTTTTTTACTTGGGGACCATACGCCGCTTTTCATGGAATGGCACGGAAGTGTCACATTGAAGGTTCCATGATAACCGCCGTATGAACACATCTGCGGATGTTTCTAAATTCAAAATTTTACTATTTCATGTTTAAATGTTGAATTCTGCTTAAGCCGGTGCTAGGGGGCGTGGACGGTAACTTGCACTTTCCAGTACCGTCCATGAACAGGCTCAATCAAACCGAGCCTGCAACATTTTCAATTTTGCCGTGTTGGGCTTTCTTTAGGGATTCTATATTTATCTATTTTACCCACCCCTTTTAAGGGGGCTCATATTAGCGGGCCGCGGGGCGAAGTTTAATAAATAAAACTTCTCACTGTGTAATTTTTTTGGAGTAATTTTTTATTCAATCTTGCCGCAAATCAGGCTCTCCAAGAAAATACTTTTCATTTCACCGCTATATTTTACATTTTAGTTGTATTGTTCGGAACTTTCATTCATAACCATAGTTATAAGGTGACACTTAAGCTCTATACAACAAGAATAAGGAAAATGTCCTTTCCTGTAAATCTCAAGAATTTATGAGGAAAATGAATATGACTAGATGACACATTGAACAGGTA